AATGAAAAAATGCATATCAAAACTAGCCACCAGCCCCCACGGTAACACCAGTGTTAAAGGGGGAGTAGGACATTCTCACACGTTGCTGGTAAGAGTCTAATTTGGCATTGTCTTTCTGGAAGGCAATTTGAGGCAATACATATTAAAAGTCCTAAAAATATGCGTACTGTGTTTTGTTAGTCAGCATAGGACGTGTTATGCCGCAGTAACAAATTAACCTTGAAACCCCAGGGGCACACCCAACACCTAAGGTTTACTGTCTACCCACACCCCACGTCCATGCAGGTGGGTGGGTGTCTTGAGGGGAGCGGGGGCTCTTCCACAGTCACTCAAGGACCCAGGTGGACAGAGGCCCCATTGCCGGGATATCACCCCGTGCTGAGGCGAGGGGACAGAGGCTAGAGCATCACACAGTCTCAGCCTGGGGGTCTTGCACGTCACTTCTGCTCACAACTCACTGGCCAGAATGTCACAGAACCCCGCGTGACTTTAAGGGGGCTGGAAAGTAGTCTCCCACATGCCCAGGAAGGACGGGAGGAGGCACAGGGCAGTACTGGGTGGACTGCCCACCACGCTGTTAAGCTGGCAAAGCCAACTGTAGAAAATCATCCTAAGTAAATATTCTGAAAAGTTTACAAAGATGTTAGAATGAAGGATTTCATCAACTGTGACAGTAAAAAATCAGAAACCTAAGTAACCTAAGGGACAACCTCTATAGATATTAAAAATGATGGAATTACATCTTTAGTGATATAGAAATCGAGTCACAATACGGTGCCACAAGGGAAAAAAGCAAGTGCTAAGACAGTACGTATAACATAATTGTATTTCACGAAAAAAGTAATAAAACATATAAACGCACAGAAAAAAGTCTGAAAAGATATATATCAAAATGTTAACAGTGGTTATAATCAGATGGTCTGATAGGTGACTTTTTTTCTTTTCACTCATCTGTAGTTTCCTTTTTAAAAAAAAAATGTATAGATTATTCATGTACCAAAAATGCATTTAAAAAAGGAAAAAAATCCAAACAAACCCTAGTACTCCTGGGGGAGCCCACTCGACCACTTCATACTAATGATTAAATTCTTACATTCGATGTAAGAAATGCCTAATGGCCTGCTACATCACGAGACATCGCTACGACTATTTCAAGTCAGGACCTGATACCGAAAGCGGGACAACGGCCTGACAACAGTGACACACGCCCGGCAGCTGTGTATCATCAGACCTGTCAACCACCTGCCAAAATGTACCAGTCTGGCCTCCACTGTGGTTTCTCTGGGCTCCGGCCAGGGGCACCAGGGGTCTGTGTGACTGGGGGGGGACCCCTCTTCACAAGGCTCTGCATCATCAGAGAGCGCAGGGCACTGTACAACCCCACTCGAAATGAAAGACCCAGAAACTCATCTTCTCATAGATTCCAGAACACGGAGTTATCACCACCAGGAGTATTAAAGGCTATTCTTTCTTAGGTGTACGTATTTTTCATTTAAAACCTTGTTCTTTGTAGTTTCTCCCATCTCTTTCCCCAACACACACACACACACACACACACACACACACACACACACACACACTCCTAAGTTCACTAGAATGTTCCATCCAGCTGCCAAATTATTACCAAAGTCCCCCTCTTGCCTGGCTGGCATTTAAAGAGTAACAATCCTTGAGGCAGGTGTATGGAAAAGACACTTAAAGAACATACATTTCTGTACAGGATTCCCTCTCCATGATGCCACCCCACCACCCCCGGAATAGATAATGTTTTCTTTTGGAGGAAACCACGTACCCAGAATTAGGTTCCTCTTAAACCATGCATATCATTTAAAAATATGTACGGACATTGATTTACAAGCTTCTAGTTTAAATGGTCAGCACTTCAAAATCCAATGGTATTTCAAAGAAAGAATCGTAACTTTTAGAAGGACCGATGGCACAACAACCCACTTTCAGGGATCAGCAAAGAGCGGGGCTGGCTCCGTCTCACAGGGCAGCGTCTTTCAAAGGCCTACGCTAAGTCTGCCTTCCAAGGGTGCACCTGGCCACACATGAGGTCCCCGGTACGGTCCCTGCCGTGCCCCGCGGCTGGCTCTCGTCCCGCGTTGCCCCTGACTTCTACAGAAAAGTAGTCCTTTAAAACGGGCAGATGGTGATGCTTCTGGGAGCACGCGACTTATACTCTGTCCTCCCTGAGTCCACGTTTCCCATGGGGGACCTCCCAGCCAGAGCGCTACCTCTCGCTCTAACATCTCGCTCTAACATCTCAGGGCTTCTCGCTTGCTGTGCACCCACTGCTCTGTCTCCACTAGAGCCATCAACAAAGAACTCGACGTGTTCGTGTTTCCTAGATCCGGCCTCTCGGAGCATGGACATCACTGTAACCAGGAGTGTCTCGGAATGACCCCGGCAAAGCCAGAGTCATTACCAAATGGACCTTACTGTCTATAATGAACGCAAATGTAATTCTAGTTCGCTCATTTATAAATCATCGCTTGCTGTGGACTCACGTTAAAATAATATGACCACAGTGTGGTCTCATCAGGACACAAGAGAATTTGTTTTCTTAGCGCCAAAAGGTCACCAAGGGAGAAGAGTGGCAAGACTCCCGGAAAGAGGCGGGACCGAGGTCTGGCAGAGTTGGATGCAGCGCCCCCTGGGGCTGATCGCTAGCTGGGTGACAGGCGTGTCACTGTCTGCAAAGTGGGGAATGACCCTGAGAGACCCTCTCACCCACTTGAAGTCTAATGTGACAGCGTGCTGGACGGCGTGGGACTGACGCGCCACACATATTCCAGGTCTCATGTGGATGCTGGCTCGCTCTCCCTTCACGGCATGACCATACTGCCCCAACCTGTCACTAGGAAGACCTCTCCTCCCCTTGCCAACTGGGTCTCTACTCAGAAGGAAAATTATTTTTCAGGCCCATTACGATGACAGGGCTCCGTGCTGCACGTCCCCCGCTTTGGACCCCAGCTTTAACAGACGCAGACAAAAGCCAATCGGGTTTGGGCAGCCAGCCCTGGACGTGCCCGAATCAGGAGGCCTGATCTGGAAACGAAGGGCAGGCTGGTGATACAAGTCCCAGCAGCACGGCGGGGCCACGTGCTCA